CGACCGCCCCTCCCACCCACCCCGAATTCGCACCCCCTCTCAAAAAGCCTTGCATTTTAAGGAATGCCTTCTTATAAAGGCATAAAAAAGAAACACAGAGCCGCCTGTCTTTCTCTCGTGTTCTTTGGTTTGCGGTGGCTGGAGCGAATCGCTGAAATCAAAGGCACCTTTGAATTTCGCACTCGGACCCGTAAATTTGTCGCTCTAATGAACCGGAACCCGTCTGGAGCTGTGTCTCTTCCCCCCACCCCACCCCACCCGGTGGACAGCGTTGGGGGGTGTTCGTGAAGACTTTGCATTTTATTTGCCCTTTTAGGTTGCTCTCTGAGCGAATTGTCTTGCGTCATCTTCGCAACCAACCCTGCGAGGTAGGCCAGGCAGAGAGAGCCTGGTATAGTTTAGACTTCTGTGTTTTTAAGCCTTCTTGGTTTCTACGCGTTGGCTCTAAGAAGACCTCCTTAATGCCGCCTGATCAGACAGATTCTTGACAGTCTGCAGGAAAAGGAACGGATGGATCAAATAAACGAGCATTTTTGTTGAACAGCACAAGGAAACGGGGAAGGTTAGTGAGTGGATTCCCGGACTGAGATGTGGAAAATCTTATTTCCGGACTCTACTCTCGAGAATAAAGCAGTGACGGGGAGGACAAACCCATGTGCAATGTGCTGAGTTTCTTAGAAAGTTTGGGATGGAAATGGAGCAGGACTGCTAGATCCGTGCGGAATCAGTTCCACCACCCACCCGCCCCACGGATATTTAAAAACTCAAATACATTGCATGGTCTCTAGTTCCCTTTATTGTCGATGTTTAGTAAATACATCCTGGAAATACATGAATAGGTATTTCTGGAGTTTTTTAATTTAGTATTTTCCACCAATGGATAAGCGAATCAGTGGATTAAGTGAATCAGCGGATAAGTGAATCAGTGGATACAGATGCTGCGGATAAGAGGGTTCTATTGAATACATGATTGAGAAAGAATCAATGCAGGTCCTCGTGCGTGTGAGTTCAAAACCTGACTTTTCTCTTTTCTCCCCTTCCCGTCCCCCCAACCCAACCTCGCTCTGAATCCTCTCCTTCTTCTTCAGCCCAAGTGGGAAGAAATTCCGCAGCAAGCCGCAGCTGGCCCGTTACTTAGGGAACTCCATGGATCTCAGTACTTTTGATTTTCGGACAGGAAAGATGCTGATGAGCAAGGTCAACAAGAACCGGCAGAGGATGCGTTACGACTGTTCGAGTCAAGCCAAGGTGGGTTGCAGTCTTCCAGCCTGCTCCTCGAGCCTTGTTGGATTACAACTCCCATCAGGCTGCACCGCTGTCCGTGTTCGGCTGGGGCTCCTTGTTTGCAAGACAGCGGGGTGCTTTAGAAATGCCATAAACACATAGGCTACAATCCTGTTGGATTTTATTTTACATTTTTGCATGCATACAGACAAAAGGACAGACCTCCCCAGAGGCTAACTGAGGCTAATTAACAGCGTGTTGGTTGCATGACCGAACATGCGAAGGGCACCTGATTAATTAGTTTCAGCCACACTGTTGTGACTTCCATGGTTTTGCTTACGTATGTGCAAAAAAATTTTTTTTAATTCCCCAAAACTCAATAGGATCCATTTTAACCCATGTTTATATTTTGAAAAGATTTATACCACCTTTCATTTTAAAAAAAAGCAGAAAGCAGGTAATTTGATTAACTGCAAATGAAAATCCAGAATCCCGCAAAGGCTAGTTTGTGGACTCGGTTCTTGAGGAAACAGGCTGAGTTTAAGTTTTTTAAATTGTAAAATTAAAAAAAAAACCAACACTTCCCATTTCTGCTTCTTCCATGTTTCCTTTGCTCTTCCTTTGGATTCCATCTTCCTGTTTTATTTACCTATTTAAATTTTTTAGGGCAAGCCCGACCTAAATACAGCTCTCCCTGTCCGGCAGACGGCTTCCATCTTCAAGCAGCCGGTCACCAAAATCACAAACCACCCCAGCAATAAAGTCAAAACCGACCCCCAGAAAGCAGTCGATCAACCCCGACAGGTAACCACACCTGGGGATTTGTTGTTTTTTTCCGTTACAGGTTTCTGCCAGATGCTTCCCAAGGAGGCAAAGTTACTAACAGATGTTGGCAAGTTGTGTTCCGTTGAATTGTGTTGAATTGTGTTAATGCGGGTGGGTGGCAGCTGTTGCTTGATGGGGCGGTATTGGATCCGTTCCGGGTTTCAGTCCAAACTTTACAGCAGTAACGCTTTTGCTTTTCTTGCTCATTGAATCGTCCTGTGACTAATTTTGCTTTTTTGGCTGGAGTGGAGGCCTTGCTTATGATGGGGAAAGAAACATTGCAATTTCTTTCTTCTGTATATCTACTGACAGATAAAATGTATTATTATTTTTGTAAACAGTCTCTCCTATGTTTCTCTTCTTTACACTCTTTCCTTAGCTCTTCTGGGAGAAAAAACTGAGTGGTCTCAACGCCTTCGACATTGCAGAGGAGCTGGTGAAAACCATGGACCTCCCCAAAGGGTTGCAAGGTATGGTGCTGAACCGGCTCCCATTGCAGCAGCTAAGAACCACATCCTTCCTGGGTTTCTCTCCGAACCTTTCAGGAGGAGCCCATGGGTGGCAAGGAAATGGGGGGGGGGATGTTTCGTGTTAAAGTGGCGAACAGCATTAAGAAATGGAGGGGGGAATGCTGATTCATGGATGGTTTGGGTGATATGACCCCCTGCAGGCGTGGGGCCGGGCTGCACCGACGAGACGCTGCTTTCTGCCATCGCCAGCGCCCTCCACACCAGCACGATGCCCATCACTGGGCAGCTCTCAGCCGCTGTCGAGAAGAACCCCGGGGTCTGGCTGAACACCTCCCAGCCTCTCTGCAAAGCCTTTATGGTGACCGACGAGGACATCAGGTAAAGAATGAGGGGCTTCTATAGATCCCGTTGGAGGGGTATAACTGCATGGGTGTACACTGGCATGAGAGCCTCAAGATGTCTACGCCACCTAAAAGGACACGTGGTGAGCAAAATACAGTGGGATCTCTATGTCTGTGTTAGAATTAGTTCCAGGCCGTCTGCAGGTGCTGAAAACCACGGATAATATCAAATGTTCAACATGCCGTGGGAAAACAATCCAGAAAAAAAAATTATTTTCATGTGCATTACCAGAACTGGCCATTAGAGGCCACAAAAGACCATTATATGTATTCTAAAAGAATTTATTGTATGGTCTATGCCTCTCTCTATTGGCCAGTTCTGGTAATACAGGTGAAAGTATATTTTTTTAATATTTTCAGAGCGCAAGGAAAGGAAAGTGTGGATACTGATCCTGCAGATATGGGAGGTCCTATTGTACTTCCTCTCTGATTTCTAGACTAGCTAGCTTGAGATGTAGTCTGGGATGCCTGTGTCTTAAAATAAAAATGCTTTGAACCAGGAAACAGGAAGAGCTGGTTCAGCAAGTGCGGAAGAGGTTGGAGGAAGCTTTGATGGCCGACATGCTGGCTCACGTCGAGGAGATCACCCGCGATGGGGATGTCCCGACGCCGAAAGTCGGGAACGAAGATGGGGAGGAGGAGGAGGAGATGGAGCGGTGTCAGGAGGTGGAGAAGGTATAGTCCAGGTAAGAGGACAGCCATTTTTGAAGCTTTCTTGTCCACCTGTTGTGGGAAACCCAGTTGAGTGGTTCCGAAAGGCGCTGTACGGGGTGCAGAAGTTTTAATCCGGAGCGGCCCATTCCTCAGGCGGTTTTCCTCTGCCACCCGGTACCAGATCCTATTAAAGGGAATTTATTTGCCAGAAATGGAGACAGAGATACAGTGGATCCTCTACTTAAGGAATTAATCCGTATTGGAATGGTGGCTGTACAGTGCGGTCTCTACTTAAGAACGTCTCTACTTAAGAACAATCCAACTTAAGAACAGCTCCATTTGCTAAATTTTGCTTCTACTTGAGAACAGAAATCCAAGATAAGAACAGGAAAAAAAACCTTTCCTGCTGTTTTTTTAGCCTTAGGTCATCTTAGGTTAAAAAAAAAAATCTCCCCCTAGTGGTAGAGTACGTATTAACCAGCTTTGCATTAGTTCCTATGGGAACTAATGCTTCAATGTACGAACACACCTCTACATAACAAAAAAAACAGCCAGAACGGATAATTGGTTTTTCAGTCCATTCCTATGGGAAATTTTGCTTCAACTGAAGAACGTTTCAACTTAAGAACACCATTCCAAAATGGATTAAGTTCTTAAGTAGAGGTTCCACTGTAGTTTCTATGGACGGAAAAGAGCAGATACGGATTAAATGGTTTTCAATGCATTCCTATGGGAAATGCAGATTCAACATAAGAACTTTTCAACTTGAGAACCACCTTCCAATACGGATTAAGTTCTTAAGTAGAGACCCCACTGTAAGTCGAAAAGTCTGTAAGTCGAATCTCCATTGACCTACAATGTATTGAAAACTGATTAATCCCACAACTGGCAGTTTTTATTCTATTTTTGTTCCATTTTGGTTTTTTTCTGGTCTGTAAGTCGATTCTCCGGCTGCAAGTCGAATCTGAATTTTGCAGCCAGAGAAGTCTGTAACTCGAAAAGTCTGTAAGTCGAGCCGTCTGTAAGTCGAGGGTCCACTGTACAGGGTTTTCTGGTATGTCTTACACACATCTGCCGTTCAGCATCAGACCCAGGAGTCCGGAGCTCGGAAATATGTTTTAAAAGGAATTACAGTACGACTCTCTTATCCATGGGATCAGTATCCACTGGTTCACTTATCCACGGTCTGAAAACACTAAAAATATATATTTTTAATCCCCAAATTCATATCTAATGATGCATTTACTTGATCTGTCCAGTAGAGGGAGCCGGAGACTGCTATGTATGGAGTTCTCTATTATAGTAATGTTTCTCGTAATCCACGTTTTTGAGCATCCACGGGCAGGCTTGGAAGCAATCCCCTGCAGATATGGGGATCCTACTATAGTTAAAGTTACAATCGCCTCCCCCCAAAAAGTGTGCAAGTTTCCGAGACCACAGAGCCCTTCTGCAGATGAGTTGTTATGAACAGGATACATAGAGTCGAGCATCCATTTGGCCCCCAAATGATCCCTTCTCCATCCCACTTCCCGGCCTGCTAAATTTAAGGGGCTAGTCCTCAATGTCTGATGTAGGCGTTTCTTTTTCCTTTCAGGCGGTCCTTCCTTAAATCATTTGAGCCTCAATCCTGTCCTTCCCCGAGGGAGTTGGGTCTACGCTGTGCGCGGACCACGCCGCCGAGCGGCGAAGTGTCGGGCAATTTGCGGGAAGCCAGGCGAGGGGGGAAAACGGTTCCAACCCCTTGGATGGAAGACAAATCTCGCTCTTTTTTAAAAAAAATGTTTTTCTCCTCGCTTGCACGCTTTTCCTTTTCTTGTTTCCGTATCAATTTTTCTTTCCATCCGGGGAGGTTCCGATCAAACCTCCGAGGCTTTCCCGTTAATCCCTCCCAGAACTGGTTTTTCTCAACGCTTCGGACGCCGACGAGACGAAATGCAGAAGGGCAACCTTAGGGTCAATCTGGGCCCGTTTTCGAAGCCGTCGCCTTTTTTTATTTTTATTTTTTATTATTATTATTATTTTAGTTGCCAAGGCTCCGTTTCGCTTTTGAAAAACGTGTCGTGGAACTGTCTTTATTATAATTTTGTTGGTCTGGCTTACGTAGAAGGACAGGATGGCGCCTTTGGGGTTTTTTTTGTGCAGCTAAAAGTTGTGCCTTTATGTTTAGCTTTTGGAGGGCTGGGAACATTTTAGGGTGCAGGTTTCGGCCAGAAATTCCCTTTTTCCAAACCAACAAACAGAAAACGGACATAGGAGGCAGGACTTCTCCTGCGCGAACCCCTTTTTTTCTTTCACATAGAAAAGCTTAACTCAGTTGTGGAAAAAAGCATCTCCAGCGGAAACAAGAAACGTCATCTGAAGAACACTTTGCAACTGACCGGTGCTAAATAAGGGTGCTTTTGTTTTCTTTTTAAGTTTAATTTAATTTGTGTGTCCGTGTGTGCGAGAGTGAGAGACGGCTGCTACCCCTCTGCTATCCAAATTTCTTTCTTTCCTGCTTTCCTGGATTCAGTTATCCCAACAGAGAGGAAGGGTCCCTCAACTAATCCTGCAGAATTACACGTTTTTTTGAAACGTGAAAGCCAATTTTTCTTTATTGTTTTAAATAAGCCCAACCATGTGCACTGGAGAATGGAGGGGAAAGAGGCAGAATTTTCCATACCAAAAGGGGGAAATTTGAGGAACTGAAGCTGGCAGATGATGAGATCCGCGTTTCCTGTAACATTATGACACTCCTCTCCGCACCGGATAGCTGTCGATCTTTGAAACGATCAGTCTGGCAGCTCGTCCGAACTGCGTTGGACCCACTGATGGGCCGCGTAAACCTTGCATTGATGTCACTCCCGAGCAGGCAATCCACAAGCCATGCAATGGCGGGCCTCAAATCTCCCTTTAATTAACGATCATCGTTAGGATTGCAGCGTCCCCTGCTCCCAGTTTTGCCATGGGGGGGCAGGGCTTCCCAGAGAGGGGTTCGACAACCCCAGAACGATTTTCTTCCAAGATCTTGCTGGTGGATTTTGCTTTTTGGCCATATTCAGAGAACAACTCATCATCATCTGAACATTTCGCTTTCCAGGTTTGTGTTTGTTTCTTTGAAGCAGGCTGTTTGGGCGCAGTTTTCCTGTTTCTGCACTGCCAGTTGTAATCTGTAATGTTAAAAAAAATGCATGTTACGTATATGTGCGCATTATGTACGGGCGGGCTGTTTCCTGGCTTTCTCTCTTAGCGCACTGCGCGGTCTGGACAGCTTTGCAAAGACGTTAGAGAAATCTCGTAATCAAGATGGGCGTGAACCGCCAGTTCGGTGGTTCCCAGCTCTTGACTCCTCTGGTGGGCATCCATTCCGAGGCAGCGCGCAGAGGAGGTGGAGCAGAGAATCTGAGACGTGGCCTCTGAGTGGGCCAGATCCAACATCGGTTCCCCTGTGTGTGACCATGACGTTACTCTCTTCCATAATGGTGTCATAATTCGGTTTTGAGAAGGTGCTGGTGGGTTTTGTTTTATGCTTTTTTAAAAAAAAATGCACACCTGCAATAGCTTGTTAATGTACAGCCTTGTGTTTTTTCCTTGGGGGGTGGTGGTGGGAGGATAATTAGTTTTGTAATAAAGTGTGGTTTCTTTCATACTTTTGAGTGTTTGGCGCAAAACTTTTGACAGCGAATACATGCGTCCCCTTCCCCTGCCCGATGTTTTGGATACGGAGGCTGGGATGCTCTTGCCGTTTTAGTAGAGGCTTGGCAAATGGACCAAGAGTAATTAAAGAGGCTCGTTAACGGGCCTGTCAGTGTATCCTTGGGGCACAAGGAGACTGAACTCGCTGGAAAAGACCATCATGTAGGGAAAAGCTGAAGGCAACAGGAAGAAATGAAAACCAAAGGCGTTGATGGAGTGACTTTTGAGTTTGCAAGAACTGAGCATGGTCTACAGAAGATGTGGGACTTTTGGGGGGATTGTTAGTCTATAAAATCACAAATTAAGCTTTAAATTAATGATTAGAACGGGGGAGGTGCAAAACCTATTCTGCCGTCTGGGGCTGATGGGAGCTGAGTACGCTCAGCCTTTCTAGAATGCGCTCGAAAGGTGGGCTAATCATATTTTAAATCATCTCCCACTTTGTGTGTGCGTGAGTAGGCTGATGGACATTGTAGTCAGTGCTTGGGCAGATACAGCTTTCCTGGTATATTAATGGGTGGATCACCTGTGTAAGAGGTGTTCAGGCCCAAAATCAACATACATCCACACAAAATTTGGGAATCTGTACAAGGTCCAGAAAGCTTTGCATTTCCCTTGGAGGTCCTCTTTTGGAGGAGTACTGCATGTCCCAGAATCCTAACCATTCTGGACCGGTGGTGATGGGAGCTCTATTCCAGAAAGGATTGTTTCCATGTTAGGCATCTGGCACATAAAAACATTTCCAGGCCTTTTATTCTTGAAAGGCAAATTCTCAAAACCTAACCCTCTGCATGGACCACTTAGCTCGGCTGGCTGGGGAGTTATGGGTGCTGTAGTCTACCCCCCCATGCCAAGGGTTAAAACCTAGAAATTACACATAAAAGATACATTCTAAAAGTAGCATTAAAAAGTCTCCCTTTTTTCTGATTTCCACACCCAACATTCTGCAGCCTACACAGTGTGTAGTTCTGCCAGCTGGGGGATTCTGGGATTTGTAGTTGCCTCAAAAAAACAAATATGGACCTTTTCTAATATAGGAATCAGATCACATAGGAATACAGTAAATGTGACCCGAGCATTGCTAAGAAAACTCTATGGCCCTGGGGCAGGAAGGAGAGGTTGGGTTCTGCAAACCACTGAGCAGGGGAGTATGGGATTTGTATTCCCCACTCCAAAATCACTAATTTTCCTAAACTGGGAGTCAGCGTCTGGAATAGAGGTTTCCAGGGCTTAGAAAATTAGCTACACTCTGGAAAACAGAAACTGCAGCCCAGGCAAAGGGATTATGGGCTTTGTAGTGTCGCTCTTAGTGGGTATAGGGAGGGAAGGTTTCTGGTAAAATTTCTGCCTAGCCCAGAGGGTTTGGGCTTTTGTAATCCTATCTGGATTACAAAGCAATGACAAACCTAGACAGCATCTTAAAAAGCAGAGACATCACCTGGCTGACAAAGGTCTGCATCGTCAAAGCTATGGTTTTTTTTTTTAATCACCCACACAGCTCCCTCTGCACCCTCTTTCATGTGCTTTTTTGTTTAAAATATTTTTACCCTCCCAGTCTCCTCAAAAGGACCCCAGGCTTGGTCTTCTGGTCTACGTCCAGCTGAATCTAAGACAGTGGTTCCCAACCTTGGGTCCCCAGATGTTCTTGGGCTGCAGCTCCCAAAAATTCTGACCAATGCCGCAAGTAGTGAAGGATTCTGGGACTTGTAGTC